TATAAAATGATCAGGGTCCTCGCTTCGTTAGGGCCTCCCGCGTGGCAGGACCTTGGGCGGAGGTCCCAGACCTAAAGCTGCTGATGGAGCAGGAGGAAAGGGAGACGGAGGGGCAACCTCATGTCATGACCGCTGAGTCTCACAAGAGTTTGGGTTCCCAGGGGCGAGCCGCGTCCTGCCAGCAGGTGACGTGTCACTTTAAGGGAAACCAGAACCAGCTGTGGTGGAGGGTCATTGTGAGTCCAGATGTGAGTGGGAGCCCCAGAGTAAACAAATTCCCATATATCCGTCACACCAATATATCCGTCCCATATATCCAGCTGGGTTGCCTCTCGGGGCCCTGGGGAAGAGAAAGACTAAGCAGCAGAGCTTCTTCTAAGCCTGGAAAAGTGGTGCTCGTGGAGGATGTCCGCTGAGCAGATTTGGGGTGATGGGGCTATGGGGTCCATTCGGCCATGCCCACTGAGAGTCCGGGTCTAGATGACAGGTTCAATCAGGGCCCGGCCCCCAACTCAAGCTGGAAAGTGGTACAACAATCATTGTTCTAGCCCCTCATTTTACATGGCGTACCCCGGGGCCTCCAGCCGCGTTTTCCGAGATTGCGGTGTACTAAAGAGAGCTGATTGAGGTTGGGGCTCAAAGTCACATCAGAATCAAAGTTGATGGGCTAGATCACTATGGTTAGCGTGTGGTGAATGTGTGGATGGGTCATTTCATTTTCCTGCATCTCCCTCCCCGCCATCACAGCTGCAGTGGTGCGAGAACCCTGTCCATGTCCCTCAGGCCCTGTACCCAGCTAGCCCTGCAACTCTGGGTTGGATGTCAGTCCTTGGCTGCTCTCGAGGGTTCTGTTTGTGATGGCGATTGATCTCTTTCTGCATGACACAAACCTAAGCACCCCATGAGCACGTCACCTGTGACCCAGCTCAGACAGTGTGAAGTCAGGAGGATGCTGTTTGCTCCACTTATGTGTGTGGGATCCTGGGATGTGGACGGTTTGGCTGGAAAGAACCTCACGGTCAGGTGTGAGCAAGGAGAGAGGTGTAGAGGGAGAGGAATCCCACGAGCAGGTTAAGGAGGTGAGCCTGGCCCTTCTACAACCTACCTAGGCCAAGGGGGCACTAGCGGTGCCCTGAACAAGAACTGCCCCATTGGACCCGACTCAGCTGGTGATGGGGCTCATTGAGAAACAAGAGGGCTGGGTAGGTAACAATTAAGAACTGCTCTTCACCTGCCACAAGAGGGGCCTCACTTCTGTTGTCAGTAACAGAGAGGAGGGCAGCTGGCTCAGACGCCACCTTGGCAGTGAGTGGCCCTTCTGTGGCTCCTTCACAGGGGAGGAGTGAGAGGCACAGCTGCCTGGACAGGAGTCAGTCTAGTGGTCTTTCTGCCCAACAAAGCCACCACTGGGCCTGGAGGGTTTAGAAAGCAGGCTTCTGTGTTACATGATAGCTCATGGTTAGAACATGACAGCTCATGGTTAGAACCTTCCACAAGTATAATATCTACCTCCAGAGGTAACGATCCAAGAGAGTTCAGGCAGAGGCTAGAAGATTCTTTGGTGAATTTTATTCATTCACCCATCTAATCATCTATCCAACATTTTTTTTTTTAAGCATAAATTTATGTCAGGTGCTGGACTAGATGATTCAATTATGAATAAGATAGGAGTGGCCCTGGGTCTCACAGTGCTATGATGGGCAAACATGGGAGCAATATACTGGGGGCCATGACCTAGACTTAGCAATCAGGGAAGTCTTCCTGGAGTAAGCCACCTTTGATGTTGAAACCTGAAGGCTAAGTAGACTTATTGGTTCTTTTCTCCTGAGGAGAAAAGTTCCAGAAAGAGGGGCAGCATGTGTGAAGGGTGAGAGAGGAGCATGGCCAACAGAGCAACCAATCAGCTCAGTGAGGCAGAGCTTAGTGGGGGTACAGAATTGAGAGCAAAGCTAGCATGCCAGGCCTGTGGGTCATTTTGGGAGGATTGTGCTTTATCTCAAGGGCACAAGGAGTCAATGAAGGTTTTAAACAAGGCAATGATGTGGCCAGATATGTGTCTTAGCTGATGTACTGTCAGCTGAGGCTGACTTTGAGATGGGGATTCACAGGTAGGTTGTTGATATGGGAGGTGATTCCAGAAACAACCAATAGAGTGGGAAATTGAGACAGGGAGGGAGGCAGCAAATAGAGCATGTGCAGTCAAGCAAGTTACCGCTGTGGTAACTGGAGTTTGATCTTGTGGGCATCTCTGGGAGCCAGCACAGCCTACTCCCCTCAGCATTATTCTTTCCGAGGGGGAGAGAGCTGGGGTGTTCATACACCACCTCCCACTGGCCATTGGTTGAAGGCTGCTCTGGGCTGTACTGGGCATGTTCACTATCCCCTAGCACTTTAACCTTCCAATGGGGCAGGCAGAATTGCAGGGTTTCCTCAGGCAGAGTTGCAGGGTTTGCCTTGGAGTGGGGCCTGTGGGGCTATGGGTTGGGTGCTGCCACTATGGTGTTTGTGGAATTTTGGGACAGGGAGGGGTAGATGGGAGTCTAGAGATCAGTGAGGGGACTGGAGGAAGACTATTCCACACTTGATCTTAGCCAAAAGGCTGAGGAGTGATTAGGAAGACTATTCCAGGCAAGCAGTATTAATGGCCCGAGCTGCAGAGGCAGAAGCTGGCAATATGAGACGGCAGGAATGTGATAGGTGACAGATGTGGGGGAATGAAGAACACTGGAGAGTGTCTACAGCTTCTCAAAGCAGCACCCCCACACTGGGGGACACTGAAAGTGTTAAGGGGAAGGGATGTCCTGAGCAAATTCCATACAGGCTTTGTGGATGCCACCTCCACTCCATGAAGACCCTGGGAACTACAAATCCCATGATCCCCAAAGGGAAGTTGCGAGGACCTAAGAGTCTAGTTAAGCAGCCGTTTTCTCAAGCCTCGGTTTATAACCAGCCATATCAGTGGGGTCTAGGGTTCATTTGACTCGTGCTCTTGGCCAGGCAGGTTTTGTCTCAGCGGGCCATTTGGGATTCCAGGTCGGCGGAATGGGTAGGACACATTTAAGAATTTATCTCCCTCTTTACTCTCTGAGTTGTACATTTTCTCATTTCCCCTTCCCTTGTAAATAAATCTTTATTAACTTTTTGTGTGTGTCTGCCCTGTAAGTTCCTTTGAGTGCGTGGGTGGGATCCACAGTCAGGCAATCCGTTTTAGAGCAGGGTTGCCCTGTAACAAGAGGAGTAGTTGCCCTAATTTCTGCAGACCCCCATTTCCTGCCCACTGACCAGCTCAGGCAGGTCAGCCTCCTGTGCCCTGTGGGGCCAGCAAAAGGAAGAGAGCTGGCATAGTGGAGGGTTACCTAAGGAGCCTCAGGTGGGGTCTTAAGTGGGGTGAAACAAAGATATCATGGGGGTGGCCTTGAGTTAGGGCTAGGGTGCCACTGCTGCCTCCCCTCGACAGGGGCCATTCCTTCTCCTCGGTCTCACCACACCTTCCCCCCAAGAGTCCTCCTTCCCAGATTCTATTGGCCTCCCTCAAGTTTTATTCAGACTGTAGTCCCCAGGACTCAAGACCTGGCCCTGCCTCGAACTTCTGTGGCCACAGTTAAATCCTTTCTTCGGGGTCTCGCTTTCCCTACATTTAAAACCAGCAAGGCTAACCAGATGACCTTTCAGGACCCCTTTTGTAGAACTCACCTTCCAGAAAGGCTCAAGGCCTCCTCCCTCTAAACAGTCCCAAGAAGGGAATAGAAAGGGAGTGTCCTTTGGGGCAGCCCAGGCAGCGGAGAGACTTGCCTGAGTCACTGACCACCAGGGCACATGAACGACTCCCATCCTTGTTGGAGCTGTCCCAGACCCAGGCCCGCCCTGCCCCTGCTTCCTTAACCCCAAAGATACGGTCCATACCCATGTTTATTTTCAATGAGCACAGCAGCCAGTGTGAAGTTTCAAGATTTCTCTTGTGCCCCAGGTGTGTGTTGGGCTGTGAATGGAAACGTGTGAGAACGATGGTTGCAATTGGGTTTATCCAGCTAACCATACCTCCCTCCCCACTTGGGGATTCAGGGCTGGGCATTTGAGCTGCTGGATCACATAAAAACCAAAGGAATTAAAGTATAGGGAGTTTGTAAATAGTGAGGAGGGTTGTGCAGTAGTTCTGAGCCCTCTGACAATGGTCTGGCAAAGCCACATCCTCTCATGTCTTGGAGGCCACCCTGAGTTTTGCCGCCCACCCCATAGGGCTGTGTTCTGAGATTTGTGTCTGAGGTGCATGAAACAAAGGCCATTTACTGATAGATCAGAACCGGAGGCTCTGGGGTTGATTGCCTGCCAAAGCCAGGAGACCCTCAGATACCATCCTATTGGAACTGTTGTTTCTTTCCCTCAAATGGTGGGTCAGGAGGAGCTTTTCAAACTGTCAAATGGGTTCTATTAAAACTGGAGTTTTCAAATTTATTGCTCTGGATCAGTTATGGCCCATTTCCATGTTCTCTTTCTTTTGTACCAGATTTGCCTACATTGGGTTGTTTTTAAAGAGTGAAGTGAATTGCCAATAATCAGAAATCAAAATGGCATTTTGGGGTATTTTAAGAAGCCGGAAGGCTGCAAATCATGGGCTCACACTCTGCAAGGGACTGTTGTGCTGATGCAGAGCTGCAGGCCAAACTTTAGAGATGTTCTTCCCTTCACCATAGTCTGCATAGTCCCTATTGTCACCAGCTGGGACATGAATGTCCACTGCCATTTATCACCAAGTGTATGTTGTTGTTTCTCAAATCATAGAGTTATGGGCACAAAGTATTTTGGGTTCCCACAAAAGAAAAAAGGCAATTTATTTATATTATCTGCCTGCCCTTGTGGTGAATTGCTAGTCATGTTGTATAGGGTTGCTAACAGAAGGTTATCTCAGCGCCCTGTTTGTTGCTCCAGTCGTCACTATCACATCATTTTAAACACTTATTTGTTTATTTTCCATTTTATTTTTTAAAAGATTTTATTTATTTATTTATCGAAGCACTAGGTATAGTCAGAAGCACGAGAGGGTGAGTAATTCACCAGAGCCAGAGCTGGGAACAGAACAGACAGACTGACGAAATACACTGCTAAGGGGAGCACGGGTGGCAGGAGAGGTCTGTGAGCCATGTGGGATCCTCGCCGGTGGCCAGGGATCTAACCGGTGTTGCAGAGGCTGCAGGTAGCTTCACAGCCCAGGGCTCAACCTCTGCGCCACCAGGGGAGGCCCTATTTTCCATTTTAAAAGGGCAAGTTTATTAGGAAAAGGAGACAGAAAAATAGAGGCACCTGCATAGTCACAGGTAGGCAAGAGAGTTGCCACCATCACATCATTTTATGTATCAGGTTATGTGGAGGAGACAGGTCAAGGCAACTTATGATTCCTTTGAGAGGCAAAACTTGGTGGGCAAAGAAGATAGAGCAAACAGAACAGCTGGGGCAGAGGGGGTTGGATTTAATATGATAAGGCATTCACCACACTAGAAAGGGTTGCAGAAAGGTCTGAAATGACAGCAAGAAGCTGGGCGGGAATGGCTGCCGTGTCTGTACAGCTGTGAATGTAGGGTGTGGCCCAGCCAGCTCATTTCCAGGGCCCAAGAATATGGAGGAGCTAAGCCAGTTTGGACAAGGAGATTCAGGGCAGACCTGTAAGTTCATATATACACAATGGAATAATGTTCAGCAATCAAAAAATTAATGGCATTGGCAGCAATGTGGATGGAACTAGAAGGCATTATGCTCAGTGAAATAAGTCAGAAGGAAAAAGAAAAATATTGGAAGGTTTCACTTATAGCAGGAATATAGGGGAACCAAATAAAGCATCAGTGTAAAAAAAATAATAACAGTACAAAAGACAACAAAGCAAAAACAGACAATTATAAATCAGAGACATATGGCAGGGGAGGAGGAAGGAGAGGGATCCGAGGGAGGGAGGGAGGAGCACAGGTGCATTGGCGAAGGAAACTCTATGGGAACGACACCTGAGGGGGTGGGGGGAAGCAAATCTTTTCAAAAAATGAACAATGATGTGAAAAATAAAAAAATTAATTAAAAAAAAGAACCCTGTTAGGCCAAATATTCCGGTCCCCCTCAGCCTGCTGTTCTTACCACACTGCACCACTCCTGTTTCCTGGAGGCTCCCCCAGATGCCCTTGGGGGGCATAGTCCATGCAGAAATCCCCTGTCAGGTGGTGCAGGCACTTGGCTTGGTAGGAGAATTTCAGGTGACCGTGGTTTAGGTTGCAGTTCACCTCGTGTGACCCAGATTTTGGTTTTGTGTCACATGTGCCAAGAAGGTCATCATCCCAGCCATTGTCTTCGTCCCAGACCTGCACCCTCAGGGGCCTCCCTGTGGGCAGGACCACATCCTGAAAGTCCAGCGTTGTGTGCCATGTGGGATTGTTGTTGTTCCACACTGTGCTTGTCCTCAGCTCCTTCCTTGCGAAGAAAACCTTCAAATAGGCGTCTGTGGCAGTGATCCAGTTTCCCCACAGGCCTGTCGCCTGGAAGTTCTTAACCTCCAGGCGGGCCAAACCCCTCTCTCGAGGACAGCAGCCGTGGTTGGTGAGTTCCATGCCATGGCACAGGCACTGGCACGGGTCTTGTTGGCTCTTCTGCTGCCCCTCAGGGCAGGGCCGGCTGCAGTCCCTCCAGCGAGCCCTGTGCAACACGTACTTGCTCACGGCCTGCCTCAGGGCCTCTCGGTGGGGGTCCTGTCTCTTTAGCAGCACGTGCAGAGGCTCCAAGGTGTAGTCCAAAAGGCCTGGGGTATCCTTCAGTGAGTCTACCCATTGTGAGAACTGCTTGGGCTTGGCATGGTTCCCAAACAGCAGGTCAGGCGAGGAAGTGTGGTGGCCACCAACTATGTCAATATAACGTTCCCGGAAGGTCTGGTGGAAGGAGTTTGTTATCTTGCTGTTCTTCCTCTTCTCCTCACAGGCCTTGAATTCCGCTGAAGACCTGACCTGGATGCCTATGCTGACCTCAGCCTCGACAGCCAGGCAATCCTCCACCTCCTTATCTGTCAATCCCTGTAAGACCAGTTCACAGGTGCGCAGCGCTGTGAGGGTCGAGATCCGGCCACCCAGGTTCATGGACCGGATCAAGTGGGTGCCATAGTCGGAGATGAGCCTGAAGTACTCAGTCTCTGTGGATTTCCTGAATTCGGGCGGTAGGGCCCTGAGGTCCTTTTTGAATTCAGGGTGGAGTGGGGGGTTGTGTACTAGTTTAAAACTGAGGGAAAGAAAAACATCAGGTCCAGTGGTTGGTAGTATTTTCCCCATTCAATAACTCCTTCAACATGGCCCAAGGTCACAGGGAAGTGGCTGAACTAGGACTTGAGCCCAGGTGGTCTGGCTCCAAAGCCTAAACAACTGAATTACTGAGCCCGCAGAGAAACCCTTTCTGTCTGTTTTCCTGCAGTGATAAGGACTTGGTATATAAGTTTGCACTTTCCTTTTCAAAATATAGTTTTTTCTTTCCTCTTTCTTTTCTAATTATAAAAAGGGATGCTGCTATACTGATGGTGTGTTCTGGTTTTGGAAGGTAGTCCTGTTGCTGCGGCCTATCTGTCCACTCAATTGGGACCTGCATTCGTGGACCCCTGACAGCTCTGGCCACATAGGTGCCCAGTCTCACCATGGGGGAAATTTGGGGTCCTGGTATAAGAAATCAGAGTGGTTACTCTGGAGACATGCATTTCTCAGGTTGGGATCTGGGTCCCAAGGGCTGGTGGTGATTGCAACTGTTCAGCACTAGAGTCCTCATGCCCAGAACAGAGCCTAAAACCTTAATGCCGAACACAGAGTCGGACTTAAATAGTGGATCAAAGTCATTGTGGATCACTGATGAATGAGGTCAGTGTGGAAGGGATCCAGCCAGGTCTCCTGTCTCTGTCCCATCCGGGAAATACCCCACAGAACTGCCAGTGCTCATAGAAGAGGGGGTTATTGAGATGACCTCAACAGCATCTTGTTCTCAGGCACAGCCTGAAGGCATCCCTCTACCTGTTCTCTGCCTGGGCACTTCCAGATCTGGACTACAGGGGGAAAGGCCATAGGGCACTCTACCTGCAGTTTCCTCCTGGTGGAGGCAGTCTCTGTTCCCATCCTGCCATTCCTGGGCTTTTACACCACCCTAAATTTCCCACCTTTTTTTTATGACCCCTCCACCCCCACTCCCAAGCTCACCTGTAAAATTGACACTCCACCTCATCCTTGGTGAAGCTGTACTCATCCTGGAGGGTTTTCTTGGCTGCAAAGTTAGCTGCCTCGGAGTGCGAACCGGCAATGGACATGCGTGCATTGACTGTGGGCTTGGGAGTCACGTCTAGCTCCCCCCTCCAGTCATTGCGGATTTTGCTAGCTGCATCCTGGGCCACACCCTCAACGGAGCTGACCTTGGCTCTGACTACCTTGCGCTGGCAGACAGAGGACTGGGCACGCCAGTGTGCAAGGGCTAGGGGCAGGCGCTGGAGGGTGTTGTTCTGCAGAACATTCTTGCAGAGGGTGCAGGTGCTGTCTGGCCGCAGGTAGTGGGTTGTGTCCACTGGGAAGGAGCCTGAGTGCCGGAGACTGGTCACATCCACTCCCTCCCCTGCCAGCCATGAGCCAGGCACGAAAGTCTCATGTTCATTGCATTCAGACTGTGTGAAGGTGTTGCAGAGAGCAGGGGTGGGTGTGGGCAGCAGAAGGAGGAGGATCCCCTGGAGAAGCACACAGGTGGCCATGGAGCTGCAGAGACAGGAGGCACAGGGCTTCAGGAGGCTCCTCCCCCAGCTGAGGATTATTGGGACCTATGGAATCCAGAGGGAATGCCATCTCTTTTGAGTCACTGAAGGTCAGAGCTGGAATTACCCTTATAAACCTGGACCACCCTCAACATTGTCCAGATGGGCCCACAGAGGAGAAGTGACTTGGCCAAGGACATATAAGCAGAGGATGCCCTGATTTCATTATTTCAGCCTAGTGGAGATCCAAATTGATGACTTCATCCTTTGCATCACAGCTGCTGCTGGTGGGAGGGTGCTCTGGGTAGAGAGGAGGGACAGGCAGTAGCTGTAGCAGATTTTGGGAGGGACCAGGTGAGTCTAGAGATGTCTAGGTTCTGGAATATGTTACTTTAACACCAGAACACTCACTTCTCCTACCCTTATCTCTCTTACTCTCCATCTCCACCCTATAGGCACCTTAGGTTTGACATAACTGGGAAGGCAGGGAGGTTGTGATTCATCCTTATTCTCTCCATCTCACCTTTGCGGACCTCTTTCTGAGCCTCATGGTGGAAAATCAGTCTGAATTCTAGAATGAAAGCTCCCATATGCGGTGAGTAAACGCTGTGAGTAAGATCTCCCATTTAAAAAAAGTTAATAGGGAGGAAAAGCGGCAGGTCCCAGTGAGAACTGGGACACGGAAGATAAATGGACGACTCCAGCAAACTACCTGAAGAAGAAAGTTGCCATAAAAGAGGACTAGATGGGAGGAAAGCTCAGAACCCTGCTACCCTCCCCAACCCCCAAAGTTGGCACTCTCCGACCAACAGGAAGGAGGAAAAAACAAAAAAACTAAAATAACCAACAAGAACAAACTACACATCAAGCGGCATGGTGAGTGGAAAGGAACTATTTCAGCCACCACACCCTGTGAACTGGAGCTGTGGAGAACCCTGTAGGATTCTCTGCCGAGGTGAGCGAACAGCTCCAGGAACCATTAAAGAAAAACAAAGACTCCCGAGACCTACACACAGCCCCAGGCCAGCCTGTAAGCTTGTGTGGAAAAGCGGTGCGCTTGAAAAGGATAAACAGATCGCAGCTGCCCAGGTCCCCATGCCTGCAACCTAGGCTTGTGGGGATATGCACGGGGGCCCTCACTGAGGTGAATGTCCCTCCCTGAGTAATTAGAAGCCAGGTGCCCGGACATGGGAGCGGGGTGCAAAAGGCACCATTTCTGTGGACACTGAACTGGGCTACAGCCCACGTCCTGGACCTGAGGGCTTTGGAACTGAGACCTGGGGCACGAAATTTGGGTCGTGGGCTCCCCACGATGGTGGGGCACAAGGCAGACACAGCACCCCAAAGCCATTGAGGCTTTCCCCACCACTCCCACTGTTCCCCTGTCCCACGGGGTAAAAAAAAAACAGCTCCCCAAGGACACTAGGAGAGATCTCTGGCACCACCTAGCAACCAGGAAAAGAATCACCAACACCCCATAGAATAGGGACCTTTCTTCAGTAAAGACTACTTGAAACTGGCATAAGGCTCCCCCCAGAGGAGACAGTGGTGAGCTGGGAAGTTTGCCCATGCCAGGCCCCTTCTGGCCAGCAGTCCGAACCCAGAGGGGAAGTGAGCACCCAGGGCCGGGGCGGACCAGGCGCGTGGAAGAGTATGCCTGTATCCGAATCGCCATTTTAGAATAGGGAACTTTCTTCAGTAAAGACTGCTTGAAACTGGTAGAAGGCTCCCAGAGGAGCCAGAGGTGAGCTGGGAAGTTTGCCCACGCCAGGCCCCTGCAGGCCAGCAGTCCAAACCCAGAGGGGAGCAGGCACCACGGCCGGGGCAGACCCGGCGTGCAGGAGAGTGTGCCTGTCTCTGAATCACCATTTTAGAATAGGGACCTTTCTTCAATAAAGACTGCTTGAAACTGGCAGAAGGCTCCCAGAGGAGCCAGAGGTGAGCTGGGAAGTTTGCCCACGCCAGGCCCCTTCAGGCCAGCAGTCCAAACCCAGAGGGGAGCAGGCACCCACGGCCGGGGCAGACTGGGTGTGTGGAAGAGTGTGCCTGTCTCCACAGCGCCATTTTAGAACAGGGACCTTTCTTCAATAAAGACTGCTTGAATCTGGCAGAATGCTCCCTGTGGAACCAGAGGGAGAAGGTTCCCTGCACCATCAGAGGTGAGCTGAAGGCCCCCACAAGCCCGGTTCCACCTGGCAGGAAGTCGGAGCCCAGAAGAGGATCCAGAGATTTGGAACCCAGAGTGCAATCCAGCTGCCCCACCTGCAGGGAAGTCTGTGGGACTTCAAGACTCACATTTGTAACTAAACACAGAAGGAGGAGAGATTCTGTGACAGTGACCATTAACATACTCAAAGTAACACTGCCTCACTAGACTTCTGGCATAACAGTTTTTGACTTGTTTGGATTGCCAGTTTCTGAAACTCCTGAAAGAACACACCAAAAAGATGCCAGCAGTACCAGCGGCACAGTGTCCCAACGCATAAAGCAAATTGGAAGACAGGCAGCAGGGAAAAGAAAAACTACAAGCAAAGTAGCAACACCTCAGAAAAAAAAATACCACAAAAAAACAAAAAAACAAAAAAACAAAAAACAAAAAAAAACACCCACCAGCTTGCAACTACAGTGACTTGGAAGAACTTCTGAGCCTTCCAGAGAAAGAACTTAAAATTGCCGTGATGGAAAAACTGATAGAAGTCATTAAGGAAAACAACGCTCAGAAGAATGAAATTGAGTCCCTAAAGAGGGAAGCCATTAAGGAAAACAATGCTCAGAAGAATGAGTCCCTAAAGAGGGAAGTAAAAGAAATGCAGGAGATCAAAAAAATTAATGGAGACACTAAAGAACTCTGGGAAAAGCAATGAAAGCAGAATAGATGAAATGGTAGAACGAATAAGTACTCTTGAAGACACAGAAATAAAAAGAACCAAAACAGAAAAGGAAAGAGAAGTACAAAGGAAAAAGATGGAAGAAAGACTTTGGAAACTATCTGATTCCATTAGGAAAGGAAATATAAGAGTTATAGGAATCCCAGAAGGAGAGGACAGAGATGTAGGAACAGAGAAAATATTCAAGGAAATAATTGAAGAGAACTTCCCAAACGTGAAGAAGGAGCTGAAAATTGATATACAAGAAGCAAGAAGAATACCAAACTTCCATGACGAAAGGAAAAATACAGCAAGACACATAATTGTAAAGCTCCAAAGAATCCAAGACAAGGAAAAAATACTGAAGCTGACAAGAGGGAAGAAGCAGATAATATTCAAAAGAAAACCAATCCGACTGACATCAGACTTCTCCGAAGAAACACTAAGGGCAAAGAGAGAGTGGAGGTCCCAGACAACAGACTCCAAGAAAACAGATGCGAACCAAGAATACTCTACCCCGCAAAGCTCTCCTTCCTCTATGAAGAACGAATAAGGACATTCCCAGACAAACAGAAACTCTGGAATTTCATTACGACTAAACCCCCACTCCAAAAATTACAAGGAGTCCTAAAGCCAGAACCTCAGAGGGATAAATAACAACGAAAGAAGCCCCCCAAAAAAAAGTTATTAAAAGAATAAATAAATAAAATCAAAGGAAAGACAAACACACTGGCAAATACAGATGCTAACATATCAGTATCAACTTTAAATGTAAATGGACTAAACTCTTCAATAAAAAGACACAGAGTCGCAAGCTGGATCAAGAAACAAAACCCAACCTTTTGCTGTCTCCAGGAAACACATTTAGCTACAAAAGATAAAAATAGACTCAAAGTTAAAGGATAGAAAACAATCCTACAAGCAAATGGACCAAAAAAGAAAGCAGGAACAGCTATACTTATATCAGATAAAACAGATTTCAAACCCAAAAAGGTAAAAAGAGACCCCAACAGTAACTACATTATGATCAAGGGGACAATTCGTCAAGAAGAAATAACACTCATTAACATATATTCAACAAACGAAGGAGCACCAAAATATATCAGACAACTATTATCATCTTTGAAAAAAGACATTAGAGAAAACACATACGTAGTGGGAGACTTCAACACACCACTATCAACAATGGATAGATCAACGAGACAAAAAATAAGTAAAGACACTAAAGCTCTAAATAAGGATCTAGAGCACTTACTTGGGCTTAACATACATCTGTAGAACACTAAACCCCAAAAAATCTGAGTACACATTTTTCTCAAGCGCACATGGATCATTCTCCAGGATCGATCACATACTGGGACCCAAGACAAACATCAACAGATTCACCAAGATTGAAATCATACCAACCATCTTTTCTGACCATGAAGGCACCAAACTAGAAATAAACCATAAAAAGAAGGCAAGGAAATCTCCTACCTCGTAGAGATTGAAAACCAAACTACTGGAAGACAACTGGACTAATGAGGAGATCAAAGAAGAAATTTAAAAATTCTTTGAATTGAATGACAAGGAGGACACCAATTTCCTAAATGTATGCAATGCAGCAAAAGCAGTAATAAGAGGAAAATATATAGCAATAGAGGCTCACATCAAGAAACAAGAAAGAACTCAAAGAAACAACCTAATCTCGAAGCTCAAAGATCTAGAAAAAGAACAACAACAGAAAAACCCAAAACCAGTAGGAGAAAAGAAATAATAAAAACCAAAGCAGAAATAAATGAAATTGAAACTAAAAAAAAACAATCCAAAAGATCAATGAAACCAAGAGCTGGTTCTTTGAAAAAATAAATAAAATAGACAAACCCCTAGCCAGGCTCACAAAGGAAAAAGGGAGAAAGCACAAATAAACAGGATCATAAATGAAAGAGGTGAAATCACAACGGACACAGCAGAAATCAAAAGAATAATCAGTAACTACTATGAACAGTTATATGGAAACAAGTTCAACAATCTAGAGGAGATGAACAAAGTCCTACAACTTTACAATCACCCAAAGCTAGATAAAGAAGAAATAGAACACCTAAAAAGACCAATTACAAGCAGCGAAATTGAAATGGTAATCAAAAACCTCCCCAAAAACAAAAGCCCAGGACCTGATGGATTTACAAATGATTTCTACCAAACATTCAGAAACGAATTAGT